ACTACAAAAGGAATAACTGCATTTTGTAATATAATGGATAAGAACCAGTTACAAAGTTTTCAGTATTTGAAGGAGAAACATAATTTGGAGAATTCAGATTTTTATAGATATCTTCAAATGCGCCACTATGTTTAAAAGGAGATTATAAGGGGAGATTTAGATATTGTTAATGATGGGGTAGTGAAAATAGTAACAGAAGCCTACAAACCAGAATTAGGTGAAGGTATTATATCTAGATTATATAAAAGTTTCATGGAAAAGAAATCATATTCTACAGAGTATATAAAAGATAATGGGTGAAAGAAAGTGAAGTTCGAATTTCGAATGAAGAGTGGCTTAAAATTTGTGAATTTCAATGGAGATGTACTAACTCGTTTATGGAGAGAGTTTTGCTGAAAAAACATTGTTCGATTTTTCATTACTCCGAGTCAGAAGGCGCACCATAAGGAGGAAAACTGGAAGTGTTGGAGAGAGTGTGGAGACCAAGGTGATCATTGGCATATATTCTGGAACTGCCCTAAAATAAAGCTTTTCTGGAAGGAGTTACATGAGGCCCTGGAAACTATATTTGAAAGGAATGTACCCTTTACATTTGAGGCTTTATATTTCGGTAAACTGGATTTTGTTTGGAGGGGAAGTGATGAATATTTGTTTGGAATTCTTATTTCAGCAGGGAAGAAAGCTGTAACAAGAAAATGGCTTCTCACAGATCTACCAGCAATGAATGATTGGATTGAATTAATAAAGGAAATATATATAATGGACCATCCACCCCACAACAGTGGTCTTTTTGTTCTAAAGTTGCAGATTCAAGCCTTTTTGAACACGTGGCTCGACAGACGAGTCGAATCTTTACACGTCCCTTGGTGCGCGTGTTTATTTAAGAAGGAGACAGTGAGAAACTGCTCACTTCTTCAGGGTTTTAAAAAACACACCGCTACGAAGCATTAAGACGTGCTCGTTAAAGCCTCTTGGTAAGAACATGCAACTGTTTGCTAGTGTTCGCTTTTTGAGACTACACCCGCAACTCTGGGTGTACGGTATGATTACGGTATGTGATATTCGTGACAAATTTAATTTTCCTGCTCACACAAACGCACAGAAGACACTGATATTAAATGCAAAATCTACCGCCGTATCCCCACCCGGACACACAGAGGAACACAGTTGCAGAACTGTTACTCTCGCACCGGTAACAGACGCTTGAACTCGGCAGACGGGGTCACTGGAGGTCAAAGGCACCCGCATAGTCACGTGATCGCCGGAGAAATGAGGCGCTATATCTCGGGAACGAAAGCAACACAAGCGCTACTTTCACCGCCACAAACGAATGAGGTGGGTTTCATCGTTTGTGCTGTCTGTAGGGGGGGAGGCAACTTCACTGAGCGCAAGGGAAACCCTGCATGGTATTTTAAATACAATCTTTCGGACGGATTTTGAATCTTGGGTTTTGCACTGTCTTCATTGTGTTTTGCAATAAAATATTAACTTCAGAGTAACTCGTAAAACTACTGAACAATCTGAAAGCAGGCATACGAAATCCTTAGAACTGTTACAAGCAACAAGTAAAAATGAGCTCTTGCAGTTTTCTTTAGCTTCCTTATATGCGAGACCTTTGCAAACTAGCTGTCATTTGAACGGGAATTTGCCGACTCTTCGACAGTGACGAGATTATCGCCATATTCAATTCCAAGCCCCGATGCCTGCGTCTGGTCTAGAAGACCACAACCTCACAACAGAGGTAGGCACTGGTTGTTTTTGTGTGTGTGTCCGCAGTGGCACAATAGCGTGAGAGAGACAGTATGTATATACAGTATGAGGTTCCGCTAATTCTGCTGTTTGATTATGCACCTTGAGGATTGCATTGTAAATAGGAGGGGTGCCCCTACAGTATGCTGGCAGGACGGTCAGTTAGAGCCCAGCCACACCCAAAAATCAATTCCTGGCTATGCCCCTGCTGGACACTCCAGTACATTAACACTGCACTGAGAGAGAGGGGTTAATACAGT